CGCATTCCAGGAAGACTGGAAGCTAATCATATTTGGGTTTTTGTATACGGGGAGTAGCCCATATGTAGTTTCAGGATCTTTCAACTCGTTCTTGTTCTTTTACGCATTCTACAGAAGCTTCATTGTGATACTCTTGCTAACGTTATTGCGCACTTTTACTACTATCTCGAGCGCTTTCTGAGCCAATGAATTCTATTTCATATTCTTTCATGCAGGCAATATTTTGCCAGCGACCAGAAGCTGTGCAGAGTAAACTAGCTGCCGTCAGCTACAGATTTAATATGTTAAATTTTTCGTGTTATCCTGGCTACACTCGAAATAGCAGCATCGAACATTCTCTTAATAGCATTTTCGTATTTTCAGGCTATCCAAGCCAAATTGTTATTGCTACTACTGTCGCTATCATGTTAAGCCGCCTCCAATGACAACCCGGGTCGCTGGCAGTGTCCGTGACCCACCATATTCAGCAAGTATTTTGTATACTATTTGTATCCTTACACCGTCGGCCCAGAGAGGACTTCAACGTCAGCTCTGACGGTGTTCCTCCAGGTGTCAGACTGTCAATCTCTCGTCCAGTGTTGTCCAGGGATTGCGGTAGCGTTCAATGTAATCGAGGTGATATCGTCCGGTAAACGTGTCAGCACGTATCTGATGATCCTAGACGGGCTTCCTTGATTTCTTAAGGAGAAAATTTGCAAAGATGACCATTGGAACACGTCTGCAAAGTCTTCAACTGACGTACCCGCTTCAGATCGATACCCTTTGAACAAAGAAAGACAGACTTGACGAAAATGAACAACGATATTCGAACATTTTGATGATGAAGATCATGATGATAATAAATGTGAATAATGAAAATGATCATATTAGAGATAAATCTCATGATATAGAGCAAAATGATAATAACGATCACAGTACGATATAGGTGACGATCACAGTGATGATTATCACGATGACGATTGAATAACGATTATGATGCATTAAGGCCTTACCTAAATTCGCGCACAAATGAAGTAAAACAGTGAACATAACAAGTATCTTTCGAACTCAACATCGTTCAATAAGAATGTTTACGCACGAAAGGAAGGAAGAAAAGTTTGTAACCACTGGAATGTCAGTTTTAACTTTTATGATTGGGCCATTTCCGGCACCCTTCTTTCCATAAAGGAAATGAGCAGGCGGGGTTCGTCATTTCCATGCCATCAGCCGAAAACACCTCATTTAAAAGCAGATCCGATAACAGCTATGTGACAAGCATAGTGGACAGTCTCCGGTTTCCTTCCCGCAGAGTAGTACTCATTTATCAACTTCGGAAAGAAGAAGACAGCCTAATGACCCAATTAGAGCCTCTCAGTTCTGACTCTGACATTAGAATGGCTGAGCAACTCAGGCCGATGGTGACAGTTTGTAAGAAGGAGTGCGAGGATAAACTCCTTCGAAGAATGAAACTTTTTTTCCATTACTTTGTAGTACGTAAATTCAAATGTTTTCGAAGTCAAACTACATTTTTAGAGGCAGGAGTACGATGCCAAATAAGATCTACTGTACTAGTGACAGAGAAGAAAACATTTTCTCACAGTACCGGATTCCTGCAACCACTTCCGTAGTTTGCTCTCGTACTTCGTAAGGGCAAACAAGTAGTTTTCTTCGGTGGTCCATTCCACTTTGTGACCGCTTGAAGTAGATACCTGAAAGATCGCTTCGCATTTAAACATTCGTGTATGCTGGTTAACGTTAAACTTTCGCTTTAGTTCCGTCCGGCATCACTGCGTCTTCGATTTCCCTTTCAGAATAGTAGGTCTCATCGGAAACACAGTACCAGCCGGAATACTTTGCCTTGTAAATGCTGCCGCTCTCCAACAGCTTGTTCTGCATGACGTATTTTAAGCTTAATAGCCATAATCAAGTTTCATACCCAGAACGCTGTGACCGCTTTGACGTGTCGCTCCTCCGTTGTACGGATGAAATCAGAATTTGAAATATTGAAGTGTCGAAAAACATCCTAAAGCAGATACTGCAGCGTTAGCAACAATCGTTTGTCAAAAATTAGCGGACCAACAAAAATAGAAGTCAAAAGATGATTATGGCAGAAGCGCCTAATGAACGTCAAAGTCATGAATAAACTGTTTTATGAAGTAACATAATTCGCTCTAGGCAACAAACGGATTTACTACGCATAGTCACAATACCAGTACAGCATCCTCGTGTATGGAGAAGGGTCCGAGCGCATCACTGTACGCTGATAATCGTTATGCGTATAATATGGTCCATGAGAACAGATCGAGCGTGATCTGAAACGTTGCGGAATCTATCGATGTTTGACAAAGCAAAGCAAGCCCGTGATTATGCCTACGGAAAACGACATCATGAAAAACTACAAAATTCGTAAATCGTAAATTCGTAAATCCGTAAAACAATCGAAAATTACGGTGATTTAATCTTAACTCTGAACAGCACTGTGGGACTCAACGAATCTAAGACGAGATTGATCCAAAGATTGGAAGAAAGCGAGCAACTCCTGTCCACTGCTGCAATGAGGACGAAAAGAAACATTCCAAAAATTTACTGCAGTCCAACAACGCTTATTAATATGACTAATCTTAAGTCAAAGCAGTGAAGCCATTCACGGTTTTAAACGGCATTTCCTATCAGACAGTGTCAACGAGGAAATGCAAAGAAAAATTTATTTTAGGCTATGTAGTTTGGTCTTCAGATATCTAGAGCAATGGTTGACAGATTGGAGGGTACACTTAATACATGTACAATACCTAGTGTAATGACCGCAAGTCAGATGTTGAAGAAGTAACGGTGCCCACCAATTCTGCAGGAAAAGCGGACATATGACCGTAGGAACAAAGCGGGTTTTCTAATTTTAAGATCTGCTGATCGTATCTGTTAACCATTTCTGACGTTTGCTTACAAGTTTTAGATGAAACGCTCCATCAGTGGCAAATAAGAATCTAGACCTGCAGTAAACGTTGTTATATCCGACTAAATACGAGTTTAAGGTACGCTCGTTTACCTATATACAGAGATTAGAACATTTCTGAAGCGTATATTATAAACTGACCTAAAATCGGGCGGCATACTTTCGAGACTTTAGAAGAGACGATTTCCAAGCGTCGCAGCTTTATGTACGTCATTTAAAAACCTTTTACACTGACAAATTTGAGACTGAGCAATAGACTCATTATAGGGCAAGAGTAGAGATATGTTTACTCAAAGAAGTGTTAAACTAAAGTCTGACTTAAGACAATATGAAATTCCAGTAAGAAATTTTGAAAATACTATTTCGTTTGGCAACTCTTTCATATTTTTATACATAATAGCTTACCGCCCTATACTGTCAGTACATTAATCATGTAGAAATTAGACAATAATTATTCTGGCTCAACAAGCATTCCTGTAATACACTAACCAATACCATATACCTCATTCCATATATTTCACTGCAGAAACAAAGCATAGACAAGTTTGTCAGAACAAATTAACCTGGTGCAACCATAAAAAAAGTTTCAACTTCAGAGCACACGCAGGAGACATAATCATTAACATATAACGATGTCGTCATTTTTTGAAAAGTCTAATTTCATTACACACCTCTAAAAGAATCCGCTGTTTCTTTGAACCTACATTCTTCTTCTGATTACACATGCTTCACCAACATATTGTTATCGAATAATAAACCTACGCAAATTTCGATCCTTTCAGATATTGTCGACAGAACAGGTCAGCTGAATGTCTATGAATGCGGCAAGCGTAGTGGTAGATCAAACAGCGAGATCGATTCTAACGGATCCTGTCCACACCCTGCGCTAGGCTCTTTCAAAATCTACTTCGATGCCTCATTCTACTAGGTCACTGTATGTTTGTAGAAATGCGAGGACTGAAGCATGCAACAAAATTTAAGCAGTAAATTCTTGAATGATTGAACAAACAATTTGTAAATGTACTATCGAATAAGTTCGGCTGGACGTCAGAATATGTTTCTTTGTCACAATATGACAAATAACACACCTTCTCTAAGACCAGAGTTCATGGCATATCGCACTGCCCCCCTGTTCATAGTTGACTAGAGGGCCACTTAGGCAGGTCATCACGGCTCAATGGTATTTAGGAACCTGAAGAAGCTCTCGCATTTTTGTGTCCCATAGAGTTATCTTGCGCTCATTATACGCTCAGGCATACGAACATTTTCTGATGTTTATGCAGTGGTATATAAAGTGTACCAGTTCCTACGAAGATGCTTGTGAGTTCTGACGACAGAAAAATCAGAGTGGTTCATATGTGAGTAAGACGTCAATATTCAACAAATGAGTTCTTCTGCTAGGTTTCTTCCTTAAGTTAAGCATAATTCTATTTGGCAGATCCTAATGTACTAATAATATGAAACTAAAATTTTTACTATCATTTCACTGCTACTATCAGTCACAAAGATGGCTCTAATATAAAGGCTTAACAATCCGCCATTGATAACGGTATTTAAAAATGACTCATCCGAGCATACAATACATCTCGAGCAAGCAAAACTTAAAACAAAAATTCCGCTGAAGCCCGTATACTTATCGAAGTTTCAGAAAATACTTTTAAGGCGCTAGAGTATTGGCCTTAACATTTATGATACCAATCAGTAAAATCTGCCATTATGAAGATGGTCTTGCAAACCCATGCAACCTCTCAGAACTACCTGAGATCACTCAAGCTTCGAAGACGTATCTAAGAGATGGAGCTGTGATGAACATTCAAATTTTATCAGATATGAAAATAGTTTTAATTTTTCCGTATATCGTAAAAGACAGAACTCAAGTAGGTTCCTTCCTCCAAAAAAGTCATCCATTACTCCTTTAGTATTTATTGGCATCGTTTGCTACATGAAGCTAAGAGCTACCACTTGTATATTACAGTAAAACCTGGTTGATTCGAAATTTACGAAAGCCTCATCGCGTCGGAGATCGGCTGTGTGGAATAGAGCTCAGAACGAAGTCAACATCCGCTATGGAAGATGAAAAGCTCTGC